ATTGGTGCGCCAGGAAAAAGAACAGGGAAAGAACATTGTGGTGGTCGGCAGCTGGAACGCCAAGGAGCACGTTGACTGGGCCAAGAAGAACGTCGCCCGATCCTACCAGCTCAAAGATGACGGAGTGCAGAAAGTCAAGTAGGCCATTCATATGTTTGAAGCACAACCTGGATGCAAATTAAACTCTGACTGTTGTTAATTTTTCTCTGTTCATTTTCTACATGCCAGGTTGGTTTCCCACTTTTCACCAATCGGTGGGGATGGTGTGAAAGATCTGCACCAGGAAAGCCGCACAGCGTCATCGTCAAGCTCCAAAGTGAGGGTGGAACAGCCATTGGGGGGGGGGGCATTGCACCGGTTCAGTGTCGCTGCCCTGAGTGAACACATGAGTAAGACAATACACTGATGTTCCCCTGTTGATTCACTCTGATCACATTTCTCTTCTCTCTGTCAGATGTAAGGAGTCGGAGTCTCCCCATGCTGTCACTGTCTACATGCTGGAGCCTCAGACTTGTCAGTACGTCCTTGGGGTGAGTTCTCTAGTAGCCCATGAGTCACAGTCACTGAACAAAACACATGCTTTAGTAGTGTATCAGGTTAACGCTGAACCTTAGCTAGAATGCTAACCTGTACTTTTTATACTTATACTTAATTTAGCTTGAGAGCTAAATCAAAGGAAAGTGCTCTAAACTGTAACCAAGTTATTAATAATTTACATCTAGTTAGTGAAACAGCAGATATTTTAACTTCCTCAAACACAGGTTAACTAATATTATCATTAACTGTTGCATTGCATTGCTATAATTGCTGGAACTGAGCCATTGTTAGTGTTTAATTGAGTCATTATTTCCACCTGTGCTTTCCCTGCAAACTGTCTGACTTGGAAAAGGTTTATGAATGTGATTTGTTTATTATTTGTGGATAAAGGAAAAACTCTGTTGACTGTTCCTTGATGTAATTCAAATAAAATCCAGTATTTGTTAGCGGTTCATAAAAATGCTATCAATTTATGTGCATAAATTGTTTCTCCTCCTAAAGAGGAAGATGTGTGGGAACCACAGACAGTTTCCAAGTCTGTCTGTCTAGTAGTTTCATACAATGTAATAACAATGGCAGGGAGACTAGAAGTTGTAATATCTAACTATACTGGCTGTATGCAGACAAGAGGTCAACCTTGACATTCGAGGTGTTTGACATCTTTTTTTTTTCTTTATGTAGGTGGAGTCTCCGGTCATATGCAGGATTCTTGACACCGCTGACGAACATGGACTTCTGTCAATCTCCAGCTAAACTAACAAAGATCATACGACAGCAGCAGCGCATGAAGGACAAGTAGAGGACAGACGGAGAAGAGGTTGCACATGAAGAGAGTGGACACTTACCATAAAACAGAAGAGAGGGAGGAAGAGAGAGATGCCCATGACACTGCGCTAAAGGCCAAAATAAAGGTTAAACTGAGGTTAAACTTGAACTTGAGGATGGACTTCATGTAGCCTAGGAGCACAGCCCCAGCCCCGAGCTGTGCAATGGGAAATGCTACATCACAGCCTAATCCAGCAGGCTAGCTCAGACTTTGTGAAAACAGTGAAATGGGGCCAACACCTCACTCCACAAGGCAGTGGATTAATTCCCTGTACTTCATATCTATGCCTCACTTTCTGTTGATTAATTGCAAGCAAAGGAGTGATGAATCAGGGGATTTGTTATCATCAGGGGAATCAACAATGCTAATGGTGGTTTTATTGTCTTTAAGGTCTGTATTTGTGTGTGTGTGTGTGTGCGAGCGATATGAAAACTTGCTTGACTGTGGCACTTGTAGATGGGGAGGGGGGAGACAAGTCTGAAGATCTCTTGCAGCAGTGAGAATGTGTGCTGTGTTTATTTACAGGATGAGTGAGTGTAACTTATGCATTTAGAGGTTGCTGTGGAATAGAAAAGTGAGAGGTTGATTAAAAATTAATTGTTTGTAGGATGTACAGAATGTCTGTGGGTTCCTATAAGAGGTATTCTGTGGTTTTATGAAGAGGCACACTGGCAATCCTGATCACTGCTGTATCACAGGGATAAAAAAAAAAACTGCATTTGCAGCAAATAATAAAACTAAAATATGAAACCTCATTTAAAATGTTGTATTACTACACGAGGGGGAAAAACTGACTTCAATGAGATATAAGGTCATCATGGCAACAAATGTCTGCTTAATAATTATAGGGATATCTGGTAAATTGTGATTGCCTTTATAAAAAATAGAGTTTTAATTCTGTACTTTTCTTGTTATTTGTTCTTATTAATCATTGTTAATCATCATGAACACTGTTATTTCCCTCCTGGAAAGAACATACATTTGTTGATCCTCCTTTGAAGGACATCTACTATAGTAAGTTGCCAGGGTAAATTTAAGGCCACCAGAGGGTGCTGATGCTGTGGATATTGTATAATCTTTTCTACTTATGAAAACCTTTTTTTTTTTTTTTTTATTTATCCAAAAGAAAAAACAACTCGACCTGTAAAAGAATCATCACCATTTAAGGTCAAATCACATCTAAGGTGTTCAAAAGAAGTCATTACAGTTATTTTTATTCCCAATCTAATATAATAATCTAATAAGGTCTTTGAAAGCTTCATCTGTAACCTCACTGTATATAATGTAAAGAATACCAGTTCAAACACTCATTTAACATCTAAGCATATGGATATATTCTGAAATGCCTAAGGCAGAATTGCAGTTCAAACACTGTTACGTGAATATATCAAAAGAAAATAATGTACCGTTCGTGCCAATTCAAACAGTTTTGTTGCCCTGAGTTATCATCCTTTTATAGGCCTAAGAAAATACAAGTATGATGTTTTTCACATTCTTAACATCAGCGCAATAATTCAATTCAACAGGTGTTTAACCGCACCAGACATGAGGCCTAAATAAAAATGAAGTTACCAGCATTATGATCATTTCATTAGCACTTAAATGGCAATTAAAGTTAAAGCCAGAGCTGGAACTAACGATCATTTTCATTATCCATTAATCTGCCATTATTTTCTTGATTAATTGTTGTGTCTAAAAATATCAGAAAATAGGGGAAAATGCGCATTATATTTGTCGAGGGCCCAAAGTGACGTCTTTAGTTTTACTGCTGGTCGGACGAATAGGAGTGACAGGGGTCATCATATATTAAAAAAGAAAAGCCTCAAATGCTCACAGTTCAAAAGCTGAAACCAGCAAAAGTCGCTTGAAAAATGACAAACGATTAATCAAAAGTATCAAAAAAGTTGAGATGAATCATTTTAGCTTCCAGTTCAAAAAGTGAAAGCACACATCCACTGCACTTGCCAAACATTTATTGTGTTGAAAAGTGTATGAGGTTCACAAATATATTTGTCTTCAGAAGCAAAAGTCCTTCAAAGTGCAACCACATGCCATCGACAGCCATGTGTGGGCCTGTGCAGGGTTTCACAGCAGCCTGACCCCACAGCAGCGCACAACCACAGAGGAGGCAGCAGTGAAACCAGCGACTGCAGTCTTTTGGCTGCAATGAAAACCTACAGAGTCTTGGGTTACAATGGCACATGCGTGCGCAACACAGGGGCAGATTTATGTGAAAATGCAGCATCTGTAAAAGAAAAAAGTCAATTCCATAACAGTAAATAACTTTCATTACAAATCTATTGCTTGGTTTTAGTTTCCATGGCAAGGCTGAAAGTCCTGTTTTTTTGAATTTTTCCACTCAAGAAAACGTAACATGTATTTCCACTGTAGAAGAGAACAAAAGGTTAATATAGATTCCAAATACATGAAATGGGCTGTTTTCAAGTTCATTTTTATTCACGTTGGATCTAAAGCCATGGCGAGATTGTCCAAACCTTCCTGTTTTAGATTAGACTGAGGGGATGGGAATCTGGTGCACTGAGGTGCTTTCAAAGTCTTGTAGTGCGTCTTGGTGAGTGTGGTAGTGCATGGCTACATAAGACTTGGCAAAGGCAAATGTCTGAGAGCTGACAGGCTGCAGGCTGGTGGGGGAGCTGGGCCCTGCGGAGGGACTGCTGTTGTATATACTGTAGTAGGGCTCAATGCGGGTGTTGATAGGCGTAGAGGTGCTCGGGGGGCGAGGCTTGCGCACACCTGTGGCCTTTGGACTACCCGCACAATCCCTGGAGTGACTGGGCCCGCACGCCTGGTCTACCAGCCTCCTCTGTGGCTTGGGGGACAGTACGTAGGCCGAGTTGGTCTCGTGATGGGAGGATTTATTCCGATTGACTTCCAGGCTGCCCTTCCCCATCGCATGCAGGCGAGTCTTTTGCTTGCAACAGAGAAAGCCCAGCGCTGCCCACTGAATACAGCACAGCACGCGGCGGCGGAGGCCTGCACTGTTGCGCGAGTACACAAAGGGATTGATGCCCGACTTGAGAAAAATCAGCACAAAGCCGCAGAGTTCAAACTGGTAATGTGCAAAGCTACTCTCTGGCGACAAAACATCCTGTGCCAGTGAAACTCCCATCGGCAAGCAGCAAAGCAGCACGGAGAACACTATAACCACGCAGGTGACAACCGCCTTAGAGTCTTTGGCTGTGGCCAGGTTGACTGTAGACACCAGCTGACAGCAGGTGGCTCCTTGTGCAGCCCCTGGTACCAGTGGCTGGCCGGTCTTGTTGGCGTAAGAGTGTGTCTGAACGTTCTGCAGTTTGTTGTAAGTCTGGTTACGGTACAGAGAGGGGCCTTGAACAGCACACTGCATGCTCTCAAAGCCTGCCGCGATGAGAGGTGGTGGGGGCGGAGGGCATGTGGCATCTACGGCGATGATGGGACATTTCCTCACCTGTGCGTTCTTTCTCAGCGTCTGAGCAATCATCAGATAGGACACAGACACCACGGCAACGCAGAAGGCAAAGTCGGCCAGGTAGACGTACAGCACAACCCTGGCCTGTCCACCTCCCAGGCCGAAGTGGGGCAAGCAGGGTCCATCTCTACGCGGGTAGGCTCGCATGGTAAGGAGGGCGGCCATGGTGAAGCTGGATGTCCACAGTAGGGCGGTGAGGGCCAGCGTGCACGGGAAGGAGGCGGTGCGGTTGGGCTGCTGTCCCAAAACCATTCGCAGTCTGTGCAAAGCAATGACAGCAACCGTCTCCAGGGACATGATGATGAAGCCCGAGCTGGTCAAGTGGAAAGCAAAGCAGAAGCTCTTCGACACGCCGGCCCCTCCGCCTGCATCCAAGAAGAGCACCAGTGCAAACATGGGAGCCGTCACGCAGCAGATGAACAAGTCACAGAAGGACAGGTTGAGGATCATGAAGTCAAAGTTGGTGCGGAACTTGCGAAACACGGGGTCGAAAAAGGACAGGAACACCACGAGGTTGCCGTAAGACCCGAGGCAGAAGATGAAGATGAGGAGGAGAGAGCAAAAGGTCAAGGTAGCAGTGTGGATCACCGCCCAACCCGACGGGGTCTGTGTGCCCAGGGTGCCATTGAAGTTCTGCTGTCTTGGCACATCCACCAGGTCTGATGGTGTAACAGTGGTGTTCATTGTATAATAACAATCTATAAGGATCCCAAAGTCATCGATTTCAACATCATTCCTCTACGTGGAAGGAGAACGTGAGGATCAGTCGATGGTGATAGCTGCTGCCTCCGCCATTGCTGCCACCTTGGTAGAGTGCTACAAAGGATACAGTCATGTATTAGCTGTTATACTGAGCAGTACATCACATTTAATACACCAGCTGATCAAAGGGCGACGGGTAGTGCCACTGTGTGTCAATAGGTACATACTGAATAAGAAGCTGTGATGCACTTACATGTTATACACAATCTACAGTAGGCTATAGCTATGCACCACTGCATTTGGCCAATTATACCATACTCACCCCCCTCTCTCTCCCCCCCAACACACACACACACACACACACACACACACAGTCTGCTGAAATCCAGAGGAAATATTTAAGCTACATCACCGTTTTCCTAAAGCTTACACGATGAAGATGAGAAAATGATCACCTACCATCTGTAATCGATCGTGCGTCCATCATCTTTCATCATTTGATACAGCCCATCTTCATTTTAAGGCAATATGAGAGTAAGTGAACGCACCGCGGCTTTAACAGCGAAATCGCCCAAAAAAAAAAAAAAAAAAAATCACAGCAGTCCACCGACAAAACACTGACATAAACCACGTTTCCTCACATGTCTGTGTTACATTTTCAGTGGCGCAAATGCATGATAGCGTATTCGTTTTCTTGCCGATACATCCATTCTTATACAGGAGCGACGGCCACTGGACGTGCACTGAAAAATGAGTATGAAGTCACTGCCTACGTATCTGGGCATGAGCATAACCACTGCATTCAAGTAGTCCATCTGTAAAAACTCCAGTTAAATGGCAGTTTTTCGACTTTTTTTTTTTTTTTATTTGAAAGAGACCGTTGCACCATATTCTGACACGTCAGATATATTACCGCAGCAAACGGGTTTTTTTTTGGTCACCAATGGCAACATACTATTAGCTTTTACGAAAAAAAAAATAATATATCAAGATGGATTTACACTGGTATTTTATAACGGCATAATAAAATAAAAATAAAACAATAATTTTAATTTATCCCCCCCCCCCCCCTTTGCTTTTCACTGCCGTCCTTGGAAGCAGCAGCTCAACAACGTGGTTGCTAGGCGACACGTAGAGACGACTCTCTGTGAATGTTTAAAGCAGTGACAGTAATAACTGAGGGAGGGCCACGATACTCTCAGCAGGTTTATATTCATGTGCTCAATGTTTTCTGTAGTTAATACCAGATCACATTTTCAACATTGGGAGACAGGATGCAGGGTTTTTGTTACAAACAATTTATTGTCATCTCAATCAGCAAACAGTACATCTAAAAAAAAAAAAAAAAATCACTGCAGTTTTGGCACTACTCTATACATAAGTGAGGTACTAAATGCTTCAATGCTCTCGACTGCTTTCAAGTCATCAGGGGAAAAACATACGCAAACCAAAGTCATTTCTTTTCATCTCACTGGGGTTTTGGAAAAAGGTAAATGTAACCGAGGATAAAAAGGAAAGAGGTCACAATTATGGACAGGCGGTTTGGTTATTTTCTTACAGCCAAACGCATGAAATGGTAATCAAACTGTGCTTAGGTCCTCACAGCAAACGTGTCACACAGGACAGCAACAGATGGGGGGGGGAGCTTGACCTCTCCCTTTGTCTGCAAGAGCAGATGAGAATTGGCTCCACTGCTAAAAGCTCAGCTACTTTATTTCAGAAATACTTTCTATGAAAAATTAAAACATAGCACTTCAAAAAAGTAAAATAAATAAATAAATATGTTTGTGCATATTTGCTATACCATGACATATACATGATGCATATAATCATATTTAGAGCAAACAGCCACACAAACATTGTGTGCTGCAGGTGTAAGTCTGATCTAAAGAGACTACTGTTCAATAGTCAGTTCTCTGTGGCTTGTAACAAACACTTCACTACTGTAAGATAGTAAAGAGTGTTTCCTACACTGGACAATGTGTTGGCTCAGAGTTGATAGTGGGATAGAATCCTGAGAAATGTGTGGGACACTGGCAGATGTCTTCAAGCATCCCATAAACACACGCACTCACACATACGCCCGTGTACATGCACACAAACAAACCCCCAAAAAAAGAGAAAAAAAAACAAACTGTACAATAATGTTACAAACTGCAGGTCATTCATCCCTGCTATGATTGATCCTTAAATATTAAGTATAGTAGAAATGTAAATGAGCTAAATACATAAATACACAACTTTTCAATCCTTCTGTGTGCCACGACTCAGTTGCTTTTGTGTGACACTCTTCTTCCAGGGTGATGATGGTTCATTTGTCAGTCAAGAACGGGAGTCTCCTCCCCAATGCCGGCTGGTGTCTGTAAATCTGCAGTTGTCCCAAACTGATAGAAGTGAAACACAAACAAACATGAGTTCTCCATCATGCCTATAAAAGCATCCCTGCAGTAGCTTTATTTTGATGGTATTCAGTAATGGATGATAATCAAGTTGAATGTCTCGTGGGTGTGCTAGTGGACACATTTAATCATATTCATGTTTCAAGATCGGTGGGAAGTGAAATTGCTTTACCAGGTTTTAGGCATAGTAACAGGGGGAGACCAGTAAGTCAGTCAGGACCAGCAGCTGGTCATCTGTGAACTGCTGCTTGTGTTGCTGCCAGTTGTCATGGTGAGTCCGTCGGAAGTTTGACAGGGTTTTCTTCACCGTCATCTGGAAGGCCACAAACACTAATTATGGCTACATCGCACAGGTTTAAGTTGACAGCAAGAGTAAGGTAATTTGGAGGAAGAAATTACACCGAAGGAGAATCCCACTGCGACAATATAATGTGATTAGTAGGTGATTACACATACTTCAATGGGTTGTGTGTCGTTCAGGTGAGCACTCAGGTCCATCAACAGCTGGGGCATCCAGGTGGGCACGTCATATGGGCTGGAGAGAATACAAGCGCTCAACCCGAGAACACCAGCGTGGCGCCGCACCAGGTCTACAAAAACACAACAGGAGGGATTGCGTTAAAATGACAGAACAGCGTACTGGAGCGTGTCATCGCATATTCTTGAGGAGTTAACTCTAGATGAGTTCGTTACCAGCAGAGGGTATAGTGTCCACTATAGTGCCGAGCTCCCTCTTCCTCTTCTTAGGCAAGCGGGTCTTGCAGAGAGCCTCAAAATGTGCCTGCATGGGGGTGTCCATGGACAGGAAATTGCACTGAAGGAAGCCACTGAGTGTTGTGGCAGCCATTTCTCTTACCTAGAAAACAAAGACATGAAGAGGAGATTGTAGGTTGAACTTCAAAGTGTATTGTGTTTGTAGAGGACACCAACTTCATAGTATTAATAACAATGTAGACTGTATCTGTCTTCTTCTTCACAGAACTTCTTATCCTCAAAAAAGTCCCAAACAGAAGTGTCCTTACAGTTTATCCTATATTCGGTGCATCATGGCATAATTTCACTAGTGTGGAATCTCCGTCTGGTCTTTTTGCGAGACATACTAACACACAAACCCCAGCACCTTACTCACAACCCTTTGGTTGAAACAGCACAGCAACAATGTCATTAGGCAGGGTGTTGCATGAGTGTGTACGCTGACCAGCTGGATGGAAATAGCAGCCAGCTTTGGGGTGGTGTGTGTGTGTGTGTGTGTGTGTGTGTGTGTTGTGTGTGTGTGTGTTGTGTGTGTGTGTTTGTGTGTGTGTGTGTGTGGAGGGGGGGATGCTTCTCTATAATGTGAGGCTATAATGGTCTGTTGTTACATTTTAATGCTCTATTACTTAGCAGGAAGGTAAATTTAATGGGAATTATGCAGCGTTCTCTAGAGGAAAAGCTTATTTAGATTAAATTGGACCACTAGAAGAAAACAGTTACACATCTTTCCAGTTTTCTATAAAAAAAAAAAAAAAGGAAGGTAGATTCATCATGAGTCATATTAAAGTATATTGGTGCGCCTGTTGACTCGTTACTCAAACGTTAATTGTAATGTAATCAAAATAAATGCATCAATGTATCTTGGAGTAGTATTCAGATTCTGTGAACATATGAATGCTGTCTAATTACAGTGATTTGAAGTAATGAGAAGCAAGAATATGACTAAAGCCTAATAAAATCAGGCCTTAGGGAGTTTAAGAGGCCAAATAAAAATGGCTCTTCCATCCATTCACCCACTTCTCAACTTTGTCTCTACTCATCCCTTCTCTCTCATCCTCACTTCAATCTGGCGTTATTCCATACAACAGATTACTAGCAGCCTGCGCGTTTCGCATAGCAATCAGCAAGAGGACGGG